TTGCGGGGCTTATTGCTTAAGTGAAAAATTAGAATGTTAGCCCCGCCCCTCCTCCCGATATCATCGTCCGTCGCGATGTTTCACTGTACACATCGTCTGATGCCAAATTGGTAGACATCGCACAACCCTAGTTCCTATAACTAAGTTCCTGTAACTACTTGATCGGAAAGCGGCTAATGCATAGGATGATGCACTAGGGTCCACTGTAGAGGTTGATGTACAATAAGGGTGCTCCGATTGATCGGTCGCCGATCATAATCGGCCGATAATTGCTTTGGGATGTGTGATCGGCAGTCTCTATAAAGGCCGATCAAGAAAAGCCGATCAGATGACGCAAAACTCGCGAGACCATTTTTTATGCCGGGTTACGGGTTCTAATCCGTCAAGCAGGGACACGTTTCTGTGCATGCATTTTATTTTGTGATTTCACCGGAATGAATAGAGAGTCTCCTCCACAACGGTGATAGATTGAAGCGCGCGTCTGAGTGAAGATTGCGCGAGGCCGCGAGCCACAGAGAACACTGTATCCATGCAACTGATCGCCGCGGCAACGAGCGCTCAGCTTGAGTTAAAAACAACACATTTTAGCGCTAGATCTCTTATTTAATAGCGAACTAAATGAATGCTCTGCTAGTTAACTGGAGATGTTTTATTTATTTGTATTAGGTACATCCGTGCGTGCCTCAGTGTTACAAAAATTGGTGGGACAATATCAATCCTTAGAAACAGTGGTGAGACACGACTTCACTGGATCTAAACAAATCAATCTAACCATAGATGTGACCAGTAGTGGTGGCTTTCTTAATCTGTTTAAAATAATTGTGCAAGGGTTCTCGCAAAAAAGAAAAGAAAAAAAAGACCAAAATATTGATGCTTAAGAAGTATTTGTATTTGTTGTTTTTTTGTGTGTTTTTTCTGCTGTGCACTTTACTACCTGTGGTCCTTTAAGTGTATTAGAAAAACTGATGGCTGACTGACTCAAAACATTATTTTGGCTATAGCCTTTTTTGTTGTAGTTTTTAGTTTAAAGTAGTCTAAAGCTAAATTTAAAGAATGAATCAAATGTTCTGTCTATTTTATATTCTACAGGAAAGTTGTATTTGTCAAGCCCTAAGCTGTTCCCAATAACCAAGCACAGGCTGGTAAGTTAATATGCTGGACATGTTGCTTGCAAATAAATACACAGGTGTCAATTCATGATACGTTGTATTCTCTTAATTGTAATACTTAATGTACAATGATGTTAAATATAGTTGAATAAATAATGCTACATGATAAATAGAAGGCTTCAAATAGACCCTGTAATCGGTGATCGGTATCGGGTGATACAGCTTCCAGTAATCGGGGATCGGTGATCGGCCCCAAAAATCCTGATCGGAGCACCCCTAATGTACAACTATGTAATCAAAACCCATGAAAGAAATTGCTTTTTGAATAGCTGTCCGTGTCCACTGTAGTGACCTCAATGCAGGAAAGGGTTAAGACTGTAATTTTTTAAATATGACTTTTCTACTAACTTTATCCACATTAAATTTGAAAGATTAAATTGGTAAAAATAGACAATTAAAATAACCCAATTTGTTTTTCCTCCAAAGAAGTGATGACTCCTTTATGATGTGTCATTTAATACAATTTTTCCAACTTTCATTTAAAGGGAAAGTAATCAAAAATAACAGTGTGGACAATAAATTGAGGGACATGCAAAAAACCTTTATTATAATTGTTAAAATAAATTTAATAATTGAAGAAAATATATAAATTAGAGATAATCATAATCATTAATCTTGAAATATAATCATTACTGATATACCCAACAATGTAAAAGAAGGAAGGAAAAAAAAAATGTATAGTAAGTGAGGTATTACTCATGAAATTGGAACACACAGGCTTATGATCATCAACTTTCAGTGTTACGGAAAGGGTGAAGCTCAGTTTTTGTCACATGACCTGGGGTGCTCTTGCGGTATTCTGATTAGTTGAGATTTTTTCATCTCTCCGCGGTGAAGACGCATGCGCCTGGAAAAAACGAGCGAGTGAGTACTGCCACTGTTTGAACGTGCAAAAGACGTGACGTGAATGCTGAGACAGCTTTAAAATATATATTGTTCAACATTTTAAGGCCGTAAGATCATGATCTATGCTACGGACACAAAAGGCACTGAATCCCAGGAATGACACACTCGTCGGCAGCCGTCCGTCTCGGGAGACGATGGTGTAGCTCGGTGTGTCTATCTGCACCGCCGGGAATGGCTGTGCAGACCAATTCTAGAGTGGCAGTCCTTGCCGCACTGGGCGCAGGAGAAGGGGGATGGCTGGTCAGGCTGCTGTTGCCGCTGCTTCCGCCTAGCTCTCTTTGCCACGGCAGTGTCGTTTCGTGCCGCTTCTGCTTTGATTGTTGCCTGCCGGACTGCTTGTCGCCAAGCGGAGCGATCATCAGCCAGGCTCTCCCATGCGCTGGGGGCAATGCCGCATTGCTTCAAGTCCTTTTTGCAGACGTCTTTGAAGCGCAATTTGGGGCGCCCTGTGGTTCTGGTGCCTTCAGCCAGCTCGCCGTAGAGGAGGTCTTTGGGGATGCGGCCTGCGTCCATCCTCCTGACATGCCCAAGCCACCGCAGCCGTCTTTCGCTGAGCGTTGCATGCATACTGCTCATGTTGGCTCGTTCCAGCACCTCGGTGTTGGGGATCTTGTCCTGCCACTTGATATGCCGTATGCGACGCAGGCACCGCATGTGGAAGCTGTTGAGTTTCTTCTCGTGCTTTGCGTAGGTGGTCCATGACTCGCTGCCATAGAGGAGCGTACTGAGCACGCAGGCTTGGTACACGCGCAGTCTGGTCGTCTCAGTGAGGCTGGAGTTGTTCCACACTCGCTGATTCAACTTGGCCATGACTGCGGCTGCCTTGGCGATTCTGCTGTTGATCTCAGAGTCGATGGATAGCGAGCTGGAGATCGTGGACCCAAGGTATGTGAAGTTCTCAACAACGTCCAGGCTGTACCCATCGATGGCGGTGTTTGGAGGGGTCTCTGCTCCCTGCATCATGACGTTGGTCTTCTTCAGGCTGATGGTCAATCCAAACTCCTTGCAGGCGTGTGAGAGGCGGTTGACAAGCTGCTGAAGTCCGTCTGCCGTGTGTGAGGTCAAGGCTGCGTCATCAGCGAAGAGCATCTCACGGATGAGTACCCCTGTGACTTTGGTCTTGGCACGGAGACGGGCTATGTTGTAGAGCTTGCCGTCCGACCTGGTGCGGATGTAGACACCCTCGCTGCAGTCTTTGAAGGCGTATTGGAGGAGCATGGAGAAGAAGATACCAAATAGTGTGGGCGCGAGGACGCAGCCTTGTTTCACTCCGCTGCTGACTGGGAAGGCTTCGGATGTTGCGCCGTTGTAGCATACTGTGCTGTGCATATTCTCGTGGAAGGACGTGACCACTGCAAGCAGGTGTGGGGGGCAACCAATCTTCTGCAGCAACCTGAAGAGTCCGCTTCTGCTGACCAGATCAAACGCCTTTGTGAGGTCGATGAAGGCGATGTAGAGTGGCATGTGCTGCTCCTGACACTTCTCCTGCAGCTGGCGTAGTGAGAAGTTCATGTCTACTGTTGATCGGCCATCCCTGAAGCCGCACTGGGACTCGGGGTAGACGCGGGAGGTGAGGGTCTGCAGGCGGGCCAGAGCGACGCGGGCGAACACTTTGCCTACAATGCTGAGGAGGGAGATGCCCCGGTAGTTGTTGCAGTCACTACGGTCTCCCTTGTTCTTGTACAAGGTGACAATGTTAGCGTCTCGCATGTCCTGGGGGATGTAGCCCTGTTCCCAGCAGAGACAGAGGAGGTCGTGGAGTGGTTGTAGCAGGGCTGGTTTCCCGCTCTTTAGAACCTCTGGAGGGATTCCATCGCTCCCTGGCGCCTTCCTGCAGGCAAGGCAGTCGATGGCTTTGCTGAGCTCGTCCATGGTTGGTGGGGTATCTAGCTCCTCCATGACTGGTAGGTCTGGGATGGCGTTGAGAGCCGTGTCAGTCACCACGTTCAGCGTCGCGTATAGCTCGAGGTAGTGCTCCGTCCATCGCTTCATCTGCTTTTCCTGGTCGGTGATGACCTCGCCCGTCTTGGACTTGAGGGGGGCGGTCTTGGAGGGGGTTGGGCCTGTTGCCTTCTTGATGCCCTCGTACATCCCTCTTGCGTTTCCTGTCTCGGCAGCTCTCTGTATGCTGCTGCAGAGGTTTAGCCAGTAGGTGTTGGCGCAGTGGCGGGCGGTCTGCTGGGCTTTGTTCCTGGCAGTCCGGAGGGATTGTAGGGTACTAGGGCTTGGATTGGCCTTGTAGGCCAGAAGGGCTTTCCTCTTTGCCTCAGTCATGGGCTCCATTTCTTCCCAGTGGGCCTCGTACCAGTCGGCATTTTTCCGCTCCTTCTTCCCGTAGGCGGTGATGGCGGCGTTGTAAATCGCGTCGCGGAGGCGGGGCCACTTGGAGTCGATGGTGTCATCTGCTGACACTCCCTCGCTGAGGGCGTGTTCCAGCCTGCTGATGAACTGCTGGGTTTTCTCAGGATTGCTGGCGCAGCAGGCATTTATGCGTGGGCGACCCTTCTTCTTGGAGTGGTGCAACCTTTTGGGTGTAGTGTAATGACACACTACACAACCGTTTAACTTTGTTTTCTGTCAGCTGTATCAGGCGAAAGTGTAAACAAGGCTTATGGCTAGTCTAGTATGCAAAAATGTTAAGCATCTGTTAAATGACCACACAGCTATTGACATGTTAAAATACTGGAGAATATTCCCATCTTCCCACAGGAGAAGAAGCAAGCAGGAGGAATTACTCCAGGAGAAACTACGGACATACTATTGTAAAGATGGAGATTAAGGAAGAACCCTGCAGAATAAAAGATGAAGATACAGAGGAACACATAGGTTGGTGTCCATTCTTGATACTTCATTAATAACTGCTATTAAACTATGGATTACTTTTATTTCAGTCTTGAATTGTCTAATGTAATATGTTCATTTAAGGTCTGATGGAACAACGTGAAGTGGAGGAGAAAATCCATCAGTTTCAGAAACCTCAACAAAACACTCAAAAGATGGAGATTAAGGAAGAACCCTGCAGAATAAAAGATGAAGATATAGAGGAACAAATAGGTTGGTGTCCATTCTTGATACTTCATTAAAGGTGGGGTATGTGATTTGCAAAACGGCCGGCAGATTTTGAAAATACACAACTCAAAAGGTCCTACCTTCTTTCCTCCAACGCTGGCCCTGACTCGCTCGAGGGGAATGGGGGGAGGGGGGGATGGTACGACCGTTTGATTGACGCATTTTCTGTCCATTGATTCTAGGTGGTCTTGGAAATGATTGGCTGGAGTTTTTCGAGTCCTGCCCGTTTCACAGATTAGTAAATTGCTTAATTTTCATTTCAGTGCTTCTAACTCAATGGCTGTAAGTGGGTTAGGAATAGGATTTCAAGTGATTTAAAAAAAAAAAAAATCACATACCCCACCTTTAATAACTGCTATTAAACTAGGCATAACTTTTATTTCAATCTTGAATTGTCAAATGTAATATGTTCATTTTAGGTCTGATGGAACAAATTGAAGTGGAGGAGAAACGCCATCAGTTTCAGAAAGTGAAGAAGAGGAAACTTCAAAGAAGAGGAAAGAAATGTTCTTGCACCTGCTCTCAGTGTGGAAAGAGCTTCAAAACTAAACCAGGCTTGAAGACACACATGATAATCCACACCGGAGAGAAACCCTTCACATGCCATCAGTGTGGAAAGAGCTTCCCATGGGCATGTAATCTCAAAAGTCACATGCTGATTCACTCAGGAAAAAGATCATTCCGCTGTGATCAGTGTGAAAAGACATTTGTTTTGGCAGAGCAGCTGAAAAGACACATGAAAATTCATGCAGATGTGGAGCCTCATGTGTGTTCTGTTTGTGGAAAGAGTTTTTCACTGCTCGAATTTTTAAAACGGCATGAGATTATTCATACTGGTGTGAAACCTTATGTGTGCTTGGACTGTGGGAAGAAGTTTTCTAGATCCAATGACTTAAAAACACACCAGAGGATTCATACTGGAGAAAAACCGTACACGTGCTCACACTGTGGACAGAGTTTCGCTCTGTCAGGTGACATGAAAGCTCATGAGAGAATTCATACTGGAGAGAAACCACACAAGTGCTCACACTGTGGAAAGAGTTTCACTCGGTCAGGAACCTTGAAAGATCATGAGAAAATTCATACTGGAGAGAAACCACACAAGTGCTCACACTGTGGAAAGAGTTTCACTCAGTCAGGAACCTTGAAAGATCATGAGAGAGTTCATACCGGAGAGAAACCGTACAAGTGCTCACACTGTGGACAGAGTTTCTCTATGTCAGGAACCTTGAAAAATCATGAGAGAATTCATACTGGAGAGAGACCGTTCAAGTGCTCTTCATGTGGGAAGAGTTTCACCACATTATCACATCAACGGACTCATGAGAAAAAGCATTGTCCAAAGTTACCTAAGTGAGCAAAGTTCACATTCACAAGTAAATAATTTGATATTCATGAACCCCCCTAGACTTTTACACTGTTAAACATTGTCATATGCAAGTTATATGAAGTATCGTAGTTACCCTGTAGGGGTCGCTATGTAAACTGGTTGACTGGGACGTAGAGGTTAATAAGAGAAGACTGTACTTAGCTGGTACGTATGAGGGGATCAATCCCTGCATTTGAATTGTAACTATAACAACTATAACAGCTTCAACTCTTCTGGGAAGGCTTTCCGCAAGGTTTAGGAGTGTGTTTATGGGAATTTTTGACCATTCTTCTAGAAGCGCATTTGTGAGCTCAGGCACTCATGTTGGACGAGAAGGTCTGGCTCGCAGTCTCCGCTCTAATTAATCCCAAAGCTGTTCTATCGGGTTGAAGTCAGGACTCTGTGCAGGACAGTCAAGTTCCTCGACACCAAACTCGCTCATCCATGTCTTCATGGACCTTGCTTTGTGCACTGGTGCGCAGTCATGTTGGAACAGGAACATCCTGAAACTGTTCCCACAAAGTTGGGATCATGAAATTGTCCAAAATGTCTTGGTATGCTGAAGCATTAAGAGTTCCTAACTAAGGGGCCAAGCCCAACCCCTGAAAAACAACCCCACACCATAATTTCCCCTCCACCAAACTTGGCACAATGCAGTCAGGCAAGTAACGTTCTCCTGGCAACCACCAAACCCAGACTCGTTCATCGGATTGACAGAGAGAAGCGTGATTCGTCACTCCAGAATGTGAATTTATGCAGGAAAATGTTCTATGTTGAAGAGTTAAATTAATTACATTAATTGTGCATATGAGAATTTGTGAATTAATGGCAAATTTAGTCCATGAAATCATCATCCACATCATGAACAAATCAATATCGTGATTTTTTTTTTTGTCCAGCTGTTTAGAGGCTGAAGCATTGAGAACATATTAAAGAGACTTTCTTGCATTGAAATCACACAGAAACTCTGTACATTTTAGACTATGAAAATTAAAAAGGAACAAAACTTGTGTGACATTTTATTTAAAGAATTTACCTGTATACCTGAAATAAAGGGGTTAAATATTGTAACACTGATTAAGTAATATATTTTTTAAACAAAAAAAGCCACCAGATGTTTTTCAATTTATATTTAAAGAGGCGTTTACAATTAAGATGAAATAAAATATCCTCAGTGTCTGTGACATACCTGTTTTACAGCTGCTATCAGGTGTATAGAGATGAACTAACTTTTACTTTACATGAATTTTGGTCAATAATAAGATAAACATGAAATCTTGCTTAACAAATAACTTAAAGGTGAACTAAGTAACTTTTTTACCTTAACCGAACAGCTTTGGAGTCATTGTAATGTTTATATTAGGGGTGCAACGGATTAAAAAACTCACGGTTCGGATTGTTTCTCGGATCAGAATCACGGATCGGATCATTTTTCGGATCAGCAAAAAAGACAAAACTTATGTTTATTTGTCTTAAAAAATGAATTAAATTAAAATATATAAAATCAACTTAAAGTGCACAAGGCATAATATCTTATTTTTAGAGATATTAGGGGGGTTGACTGGTTGAGTTACCGAAACAGGCCAATCAGGATGCTCTCTGTCTTACATGCGCACACACGCAAGGTCTCTCGCTCTCTCCCTCTCTGCCGTTCGCGCGCTATGTATGTTATGCGCGCAGTATGTTCCGTCTCGCACGCGCGCTCTAGATTCCGGGAGATTTTAACTAATTTGAGGGCATCAGGGAGTCCCTGACAGGGAGCCGCAATCAATATGCAGGATTTTTATAAGTTAATTTTTTTAGGTCAATTCAGCGCAACTCCGGACTGTCCGGTCAAAATCCGGACGTATGGCCACCCTACTACACACACCGTCATGGTTTTATCCACTATTTTTAAATATCGGTTGATTAATCGGTCATCGCAAGTCAGTCAAACCTAGTTATTGTATCGGTAAAATCCACTATCGGTCGACCTGTAATTATTAAAATATTTAATTATTATATATGGTCAGTAGAACAATTGAATGTAAATGGAGAGAATGATGAAATAATTGTTGCTTATTTTAGTGCTGTAATAATGTTATAATGTGGGATAAAGGAACTCGGACTTACATGGGCCATTCTACAGAATTGATGCAAACTGCTGTTCACTCTTAAAAATGATGGGTTAAAAATAACACAACTTGGGTTGTTTTATAACCCAACCGCTGGATCAATATTGCACCAGACCAACAGTAGTTATTTTGACCCAGCAAGATGGGTTGGTCATTTTTAACCCAACATTATGAGTTAAATATTTTACCCAAATGCTGGGTCAAATTAAATACAATTCTGGGTTGATTCAACTACATATTGGTTGTACCCACATGCTGGGTCAAATTAATTACAATTCTGGGTTGATTCAACTACATATTTGTTATATAGTGTACCCAAATGCTGGGTGAAATGAACCCATATGCCAGATTAATTCTAACACATTACAGTACAATTTAAGAAAATAAATTGCAATAGACTACCCATAGCTATAAAACTGTTAAACTACAAACCTATAACAGAATACATGCTAGATTTATGCATATATTATGCAATAAACATTTAACAATACAAAAACAAAACAACAATGGAAGCGATATGAATTAATGTAATAAAATAAAAAAAATTCAAAGATTCCATTGTTGTTTTGTTTTTGTATTGTTAAATGTACAAAATACAATATATTAAACAATATAGCAGAACTGGTGCAGTTCATATCACTCAGGTAGGAAAACATTCAGAGCAAAACAACAATTCCGAATTAAATGGCTGAACATTCAACAGGCCAACAGTCTGCTATTAAGAGCCATTAGCTCTACTTGCAAGCAAGTATTCTACTTTGAATAAACTTTACCATTTTAGACTCTCCTCCTGGCATTTGTGGGGGTATGGTTTGCATGCCTTGGCCTCATGGAGGTACTCCACCATGTTTATTCCAGGCTAAAAAAGAAAAAATACAAGAGAGCAAGTGAGAGAGTGCGAGTGAGGACCAAATGTCTACCGACTACTATAGTAGAATTAAAATATAGACATTGTGAGGACCATTTTCCTGGTCCTCACTAGAGAAATTATTGTTTTATGATAAAGTAGCTTTACAATTTGGAAAATATTCAGTGCATCTCTAATTCAAAAAGTTGAACTGTAATAGTCATTTCATTGCACATAACGAAATATTCCAAACCTTTTTGGATTAAGTCTTGATGGTTATGGCATATAGTTCACATTACAGAAAACAATTTAAAAAAGGATTCAGACCTCAATTGACCTAAAAAGGCATAAATCGATTGATGGATCTATCATTACAATAAACATGCTAAGAAAATGCGGGCGACCCACCTATCTGGCCGATAGGCAGCCGGGTTAGTTGGTCAGATAGGTGGCCCGCAAATGCTTTGTAGATTTCGAAGACTTCTTTAGAGTCAACCTCATAGAGTCAGGTCCAAATGGGTTAAAATACAAAAGTGTCAACCTTCTGATAAATATGTAATTTCTGCACTCAATACTTTGTTGGTGCCTGTTTTAGAACAAATGACTGCATCAGTGCGGTGCGGTACAGAGGTCATCAGCATGTGGCACTGCTGAG